TATGGGGATTTGAAAATGTAAACATTATTAAGAAACTTCAATAAAAATTTTGTAAACGTGTACTTCATCCTAAGACATCTACTCCAAATTATATGGTTTATGCCGAGATTGGTAGATATCCATTCATTGTAAATATTTAAATGAGAATGATAAAATTCTGGATAAAACTGTTGAAATTTAAAGAAACAAAATTATGCATATTTAATAAAAAATTTTATACAGTTCATCAATGTACAACAATGTTTATTGTAGTTCCATATGGATTGACTGTATACAACGTATTTTACAGGAATGTCGTTTAAATTATGTCTGGATGACTCAAAATGTAGGAAATGAAAAATGGTTGTTAAATACAGTGTATTATTATGCAAACACTCATTGATCAATTCATACAAAATGTAATTCAAATGGTGATACACGGAAAAAAGAAAAAAATATATAAATTTTTCACTAAAAGTATGCAGCATTGTTAAGGCTTGAATAAGGGGGCGGGGCCTAATTTATACGGGAAAAGTTTACTGTAACGTCACACAAAAATATGACTTTTATGTATTTCTCATTATATCTGAAAATGAAATAGTTTGCAACCTTTAAAACAACAATAAAACTTATCAATGCATTTAAAAAACCTGCCAATTAAATCCCATGTAGCTGGTTATAAATAGACAAAGCACTGATTGAGATGAACTTGTAAACAGGACGTCAATTTGGTAAAAATGACGTATTTCATGTGCCTTGAGAGGCAGATTGAGGAATTTTTTTAACAATAGAAAATGCGTTTCATTATTAAACGGAATATTATTTACAGGATTTAAATAGTCGATTAATACCATTGCATATCCTTTGTTAAGTGCAATTATTAATTAACTATCAAGAGAATGTAATTTATTAATTATGTCGTGTTTTCATTTACAGGTTACGTATATTTTACATCGAGATGCCTCATAAAATCGTACTTTCGCAAGGGCATACACTTAATAGATCTTAACCATTTTTTTTTTAAATATAGATAATGGATATTTTTCTTAACGTGAAAAGTGCCGCTACTTTCTTTAAATCGAGGGCGTGATTTTATATGTACACAAAATATTTGGTAAAAGTCAAACCTATTTCGACATTGGCTTTTTCACCTGAAAATTTAACTAATAAAACGCGAATTCTATTCAAAGCAGCAGCACTTTTCAGAAACTACAAAGTATGCAGAAACAATAAATAGCTTGAATTTTTAATTTCAACTAAGGTATGCCCTTGCGATATTGAAATTTGTTTATGACCTACATTCTGTACACGAACTATCCATTCACAACGTGACTGTCCATCGATGGGACCAAACTTCATTCAGTGCCGAGTGGGTTTTGCTATGCTATTTCCATAAGCATTTGCGTTCTGTGATAATAAAACAGCTTTATTAAAATAAATTCAGTTTTAAAAAATATCCCTTTTTTGCACGTCTATTTTCCGTTGATTTCTCATAGTAGGCTTTAACAGTGCTGCGTAATTTTACATCTAGGCAGAATTTAAATATCAACGTGTCAACTAATACTATGATTACATTAGCAAGATTTAGAATCAGTAATCATAAATTAACAACAGAAATAGGCCGGCCGATGGAGTAATATACTCTCAAACCAAAGACTATGTAGTGTATGTAATAATGATATTGGAGGTGAATTCCAAAACATTACGTCGTGTCCAGTTCTAAAGGATAGTAGAAACATGTTAATCCCATTAACATAAACAACTCGACCAGGTGCTTTCAAGTTTTCAAATTTATTTTTATGTGAAAAAGTATCCGTTATCAATAACCTTTGTAAATTCATAAATATAGTTAATAAGAAAGTTTCCCTTCCAGGTAATTGTATATTATACAAATCCTAAAGTATTGAGTCCGAACGTTGAAAAATATAAAACATTAAAAATCAACTAGTTAAACTATGTAAATACACTGGGTTTATAATTGAGAGAGTTGGTTGCTTGATTTATGACACTCTCTTTTTTCATCGTTTCTTTAATTTTTCTCATGCATGCTGTATTGTATTGGATTGTATTGTATTGTACCTATTTCATGTTTGTATCTTTCTATAGTGCAGTTTAAGAGGATAAACTATTTAGATTATTAAAAAGCGGGTAAAGGTAAAAGACACTTCGTAATCAAACCATTTAATTACAATATTATGTAAGATTATAAGCTCAAGAAATTTTCATATTTATTGTCCGGTACTACTTTTTTTTGCCTGAAATAAGATTAGTAATCAGAAAATAAAACTAACGGACTACATGCGTCTGATTCTACATGACCTATTTCAATCTTAATTTTCGACTTTATAAACTTCAACTTTACCTTAAGTAACCGTGTTTAGTTACAATTTATTGCATATATTATTTAAAGTAATTTACTAATTTTCCTTTTATAATATTTACAGCCATACCTCTAATAAATAAAGCTGAAACGAAATAAAATTTGCATGTTTAGATAAAGTATTGTTGTATTGATTAAAATGAAATCAGGTTAATAGGTAATATGTCGCTCCATTTAAAAGATATCAGTTTCTAAATACATATGGACTTGATTAAAAAAAGCAAAAAACCATGACGTTGGAGGACGTCACGGAGCAGCAAATAGAAATAAAATTGTACTTTAAATTCGGGAAGCTTCTTCTACAGGCTTAAAAAATCCGTATAAACCAGGATCTGTATGAAAAATAATCTGTGTATTTGTATTAAATGGAAAATACAATTTTTGAGTGGTAGCAAGTTTGAATCGGACAATGGATTGTCTGCAAAGAAACAGGTTCAAGTTTAAAATATTGTCGAAAGAGTTAGGAATGTTATTGAACGCGATATGTGCTTCACTGTTGCAGAATTAAAAGAGTTACATGGTAAATTAAAGAATTTGAAAACAATGACATTTTCACTCAAGCTATATTTGTACAATTGTTCGCAAACTAGGTGTTAAATGTTATGGATATGTTTTTTTGAATGGAGAAGACGCTAAAAACCGTGTTTGAAATTAAGAAATAAGTATAATTTTGATAAACTTTCTCAACGTTGTCTTTCACGTTACAATGCTGATTAACTGTGCTCCGTGGTAACAAAACATGTTGCTTTAAATTTTGGCTAACATGAGTTCTATTTAATCAAATGGAATGAAACTTCACAATTCGACAAAATAATTGTTTATGTTTACGAAAATGTATTGATCTATAATCTTGTAATAATTATATGACGATGAAAAGCATTGTCTACATATTTTTTGAATAACCCTCGTATAGTGAAAATACATGAACTCTTTGAAAATCTTCTTCTCTGCTCCTAGGTATCTAATAAACCAACTTAGTACATAGTTATGATAAGCAAGAGTGCCTCTACCAACATTGTGAATTTTATGGCCCCAGCTTAAGAGGTCCTGGTGTTAAGGCGGGGCTCCATTGATTATATAGTGAAAATACATGAATTCTTTGAAAGTTTTCTTCTCGGCTCCTGGGTATTAAATAGACTAACTAAGTGCATAGTTATGATGAGCAAGAGTGCGTTTACCAAAATTGTTTTTTTTTTTTGCCCCAGGGTCAGGGGTTCTGTTGTTAGGGCGGGGCTCTAATTGATTATATAGTGAAAATACACGAATTCTTTCAAAATTTTCTTCTCTGCTCCTAGGTATTGAATAAACCAACTAAGTACTTAGTTATGATAAGCAAGAGTTAAATCTTTGAAAATTTCCGTCTGTTCTCCTGAGTATCAAGCAGATGAACTACCTATATAGTTATGAGCAAGGGCCCTATTCTTCCAGAATTGTGAATTTCAAGGCCCCAGGATCAGGGATGCCATGGAGGAGGGGGTGGGGCTGTAATTATATAATGAAAATGAATGAATTGTTTGAAATCTGCTCCTTGATATTATTTAAATATTTTTGAAAAGGAAGGATACCTCTTTTTAAATTGTGCAATGTGTGGATCTAGGCCTAAGAGTCAGAGGTTCCCCTACCCTGCCTATGGGTATTAAGTAACCAAACTAAGCAACTGTTAAGCGTATTGTTATGATGATCAATGGTGCTTCTTTCAATATTGTGAATGCCGTCAGGATAGCATCTGGCTAAAAACATGAATCAAATTCAATTACTGGAAAGATGTTGCATAATGCTCAGGTAACCTATAAGGCCCATGGGTCTCTTGTTTCTTAATGCATTGACAAAATGCTATTGCAACTATACTAGGATCAGCTGAGTCGCCAATTCTCGGGCCTTTCTGTCAAACGAATAATCAATCTTAAATGTGTTACATGTAACAACGCCCCCCTCCCCCCCCCAAAAAAAAATAATAAAAAAAACACACCCACACTTCTTCCCTCACATTCACATACCCTCACCCTTCCTAACCCTCATACACACACAAACACACTCTTACAAACAAAAACACAAGCAAAGAAATAACAACAACAACATTGAAATAAATGCAGGAGAGCACTTGTTTATATGTAGAAACTGAAGCTCAGCCGGCAAGGCCATTAAGGAGCGATTGTTTTCAGAACTTAAGGTAGACACGCATATTGATTTGTTGGTTAAAATCTTTGACAGCCCACAAATAAAACCATTCATAAAAAAGGATAATAATAATAAATTTGTTTATATATTATTTTTTGCATAAGTACCAGTAAATATATAAATTCACGACGTTGTGCTTTTTTTTTTCAAGATAGTTTAAGGCGTGTTTATTATTCTTTAATACGTTTTACGCAAATATACCTTTGTTTTGCTTTATTGTATAATTTTTTTTTTCATCAGCAAACGCAAAGACGAGACTTCCCGTCTTTGAAGTGCTATTGTGACGTAATTAGGCTTATGACATGAAGGTCCCTTTTCGCTTGACGAAACTCATATACAAATTCAAGAAATATCAGATTGAATTTTAATATTCTGTCATATAAAAAATGTATAGGCTCATATTACAAAGCACAACGTAATCAATGAGATATTATCATCATAAGAGTCTCATTTATCTCTCTACCATCACTAAGTGGCGGATACCATGGAAAGAACCAGTAAAAACGGGACCAGGGACCGTTGAGGTAGGCAGAGTGACAATTGTTATACCACCAGCCTCCTCCTCTTCCGTAACTAACAGCACAGTTATATGGATATCCGTCATTGTCCCTATCTGGTGTGGAGAACGACATTCCAGACAGATTGAGGTAGGAACTCCCCGTGTCTAACATACGGTCACCTACAGTAATCAAGATTAAAAAAATATATCACTATGTCATATGTATCAAATATCTCCAGCAGCACAGTTACCTTAAGCACTGTCGTTATCTCTAAATAACTGGCTTTCCATGCTTTCTCCAATATTGAAAGATATCGATCGCTGTAATATCACAGTATTCAATTGATATAACACCTTTTTAATGGAAAAATTAACCCCAGTCATAATGTATTCTGTCTAGGGTACGGAATGACATCCAAGACAGATCAATGTTAAACATTCTGTACATCTCTGACAAGTTATCATTAGGATACCCTGAATCTAATATTCTGTCACCTACAGGAAACAAGGATAGACCACAAATTACCATCTAGATCAAATATCTTTATCTCATACGTGTTGGTGATACAGGCCGTTGGATAAACTTATGCTTTATCAACGGGTAGATGCTTTATCAATAGCACTTCCGGTTTTGACACGAACCCTCGCTTCAAGATTTTATTTTATTGAAACTTTTAGGCTATTTGTGAAAATTGTTGCCCTTATAAAATGAATGATAAAAGGTAGCAATATCGTTAAAAGCAAGATGTCAAAGAAGTGTCTTATTTTATCAAGGAACCCGTTGGCTATTTGAAGACAGATGTTACCCCCCCCCCCCCTCTTAGATCGTTTTCGGAGAAAGTAAAGCCTACATGTACCAGTTAAGTTGTTGTTATAAGACTCCTTTGACATCTTTAACAATGCTTTCCTATATTATACTACGTATGCCTACCTAGTAATGTAGGTGTAACTTACCATGGATCAGCAAACAATCTAGACAAAGTCTAGGCCCCTAGCCTTGCCTAGCACGATTTGTACTGCCATCGTAAAAAGAGTTGATTTTCACGATCCCCATAGTCCTAACAACTTTCAGTCAGAAGTTCGTTTGATGTAAAGCTCCAGCAATTTTCACATGATGTTTTCAAAGACACAGATAGCAAATATTCTAAATTTTGAACTCGATCTACTTTCTCTCGACGCATGTAAACATCAACGGTGCTACGTCATCAAGTTATACGTCATCAATTTGATTTTGGCAGTCATTCATGTAGTTTCGCAGGGGAAGTCTCAAAGTTTTGTTAAAACGAAAGTCGTATGAGATAAATAGAACATCTATAATTGTGTGATTTGATATTGGCTTTATCCAACTCGTTGAAATGGTGTATATTCGCTCGGCAAAGCCTCGCGAATATATACACCATTTCAACTCGTTGGATAAAGCCAATATCAAATCACACAATATAGATATCCTCTATTTATCAGCACATTTTTTTTTTTTACAAAAAATGGAACGGTTGTGAAAGCACTAATTAATAGTTATCACGTCTTATCTTTACCTCTTTCTCTCTATCTGTCTGTTTGTAATTACATGTTCATGCGTATATTGTTTCACTATAATCTCTGTCCCTGTTACTCTCTGCTACGATAAATACAAATCAAGTATTCTACTTTATATACTGGTGTCTCATACTATCGCGGTACATAATTCTTTTGCATCAAACCTGTAATTTTAAAGTTTTACTTTAACTTATATCAAATGATATTTATAAATCTAACTTTGGCCTAATTTTTTAGTGTAAAAATTTTTTCAATCTTTCGTCGTTTAATTTGTGGTCTATTTTTACAACAGGAAGTCTAATTCACCTCCTAAATTAGAGAGTCCCAGTGTATCGCGGTATGGGAAAACATGGAAACTTGTACATGATATGGACCTGTTTTTATTTTTGAATTTACGATGTAAATCTACATGAAAAATAAACAATTGTGCAAACTAAACATTTTTTAAAGATGAACATTATTATAATTTTTACTAGGTTATAAATTTAATGGGCCAAATATAATAAAAACTGGACTGGAAATCTGTAAAATTACGTTTTATTTGAATATTTCTTTTAAACAGGTGTTTCATACTTTTTAATCATCAAAAAAGTAAACATTTAACTAACATACATATTGTCCATCAACAAAAGGAATATAGGCTGTGTATCCAAATTTTTACAATATACCGCGATACAATGAAACCCGCGATTTAATGAGAATCAAGTATACTTGCCTAAAGTTCCGGTAACTGGTCCTTTTAGATAAAGTCTGTAGTTGTCATCCTCCCCAGACACAGAGAACTTTTGATAAAGTTCATACAGAGTTGTACCATTTTGTAATGTAATGGAAACGTAAAGGGATGAGTTGCTTGCATTGGTCATCTTGTGAATAACGTCGTTTCCTTCAATACGTAATTGTAGGGATATATAAACCATTAATAAAAAACAAAATATGATTTATCTCAAGATGGTTGTGGTTTAATGAAGGTTTAGGATTAAAAGGATGATGTAATCAAATATTTTGAAGATTTGTGTGTAAGTGATTAAAAAAAACCTGCAGCCTTTTAGAATATGAGTGGTTGATTGCAATAATTCATAACAATGATGAATTTACCCTGAAAGACGGATAAAAAAATGATTTATTATTTCTTAAAATATCAAAATATATCCTACTTCATAAACATTGCAAATAGCATTGATTAAGCTTTGAAAAAAATGTTAATAAGTACCTACCGATCCAGTACGAGTCATTAGGATTCCCAAAACCTTGTCTATACTCCGTCCATGTTCTGTTAAATCTCACTGATGCACTAACCCGTTTCTGAATTGCCTAAAAAGTTATTGACCGATGTAATGATAAGTTTAAGTCTAATAGATGAAAGGAAAATTCCAATATATCTCTCTGACAATTTTTCTTTGTTGTAATAGTAACTCAAAGTAATTCTCTGTGAGAGAGAGAGAGAGAGAGAGAGAGAGAGAGAGAGAGAGAGAGAGAGAGAGATCTTACTGTCCACCCTCCACCTTCAGTCTCCATATCACAGAACACGTCTATCTGACTCTCATTACCATAGGGACTGATTTTAAAAACACCAGATTGTGTGTGTCCAAGTAGATAAAGGTCTTTACAATCCTTATATAGCTTTAAACCTAAGAAAAAATAAAATAAGAAAAAGTATTAAATGAGATCAGGGTGTGATCAACATGTACACTGTATGTCTTTCATAAAAGTAGATACTGTAAACCTACTTTTATTTGAGTGCGTCAAATGTTCGCAAAGTTCACGAGAGCCTAGTCATCGTGAAGATTTCTCGCCGATTTATAGATATGTTGTTTTTAATGCAACAAAATTTTAACATGATAATATTAGTGAAGCAAACTTATTGAAAATGTTTGCGTTTTTCTGGAAGAACCTTCGTAGGTGTGTTATGAGAGTTCTTCAAAAATTGAGTAATTAACTTTGCCTATCTTTATTTCAATGAACTTTTTTATTGGTACATGGTACAATCTAAATAAGAACTTTTTTCAGCCCCTGCCCAACGGAACTGCCACGACTGATTTCTGGGACTGCATGGACAGGTGTAGAAAGTCATTTGATCTGAACTACTGAGGGGTTGCTAAAGTCAACTTAGTACTGTATGTATTGGCACATATTATTGAACACACAATGAAAATTGCAGGGGAGGTACTACATTTAGCACGAACACTTTACAATCAGAACAGAAATAGCATCATTACATGTACAATACTTACTTGTTAAGGTACGCTTGGTTATCAAATCCTTTATTTCTTTACTTTCCTGTTGTAATTGATCAACCATTTCACGCTGAAGCTTACTGGTAAAGGTAAGGTTAATCAGCAAATCTTTGATTTCCGTATCATCTGATTGACGCTGAAGCTTAATTGTTAACGTAAGGTTGGTCAATATTTTTTTCATTTCTCTGTTATCATGGTGTAATTGTTCATCTGCTTCACGTTGGAGTTTATTTGCTGATGTCAGATTGGTTAGAAAATCTTTCATGTCAATGTTTTCCAGACTTAATTCACCTAATCTACGCTGAACAATACCTGTATAATTAATCAGTAAATCTTTCATTTCCATTTTATCTCCTTGGTCTAAATCACGATGATACTTACGCGTTGAAATAAGGTTGGTCAGTAAATCTTTCATTTCCATGTTATTGAGCTTTATTTTTTCATCTATTTCATGCTGATTCTTGTCTATTTTTGTTAGTTTGGTCAGCAAATCATGCTGGAACCTTTTCTGCTCCATTAAAATTGTTTTGATTTGTTCCGTAAACTCTTCATGATTATTGCAGTCATCTTTTTCATTCAGGTAAATATGCTGTGTACTTGTACATAACCAAGTGGACACGAAGATAGCTATTAACATTTTATCCATGATTTAACCTTCTCTCCTTTGTTGCTTGAGCATTTATTTAATACACCTTCCGAGAAGGAAGTTTTTTTTTCCATTTCAATCGTCATTTTTCTGCGCCGTTTTAATGATAAGCGGTCAATAAATAAAAACTATTTCACAACTTTAGTTATTTTGATGATTAGTCAGCGCATGATATGTTTCTGTGTGGCCTAAATTCCATGTTTTCATGGATGACTACATATATAACGTTTTCATCAGAGAAATCAAATCAAAAATCAAATCTCAAAAGATAATTAAAAAAAAAATTACAGCAAAGAATCAGGTATCATAGAGGAAGAAATATCTGCCAACCGTCCACTCCTTGTGCTCCTTGTCAAACAGAAAAATCCACAGACAATTCAATGTGAATATATTAGTCTAACAGTTCAGGCAATTGAACAAACAACTAATAAGTGCATTGTAGTTTTAAATAAACTTGCGTTATTAACGCAAGGCTATTGAAAATCTTGTATCGTCATCTTATTTGAATTGTTTGTACCTAGAGTGTGTCCTTGCATGATAGTTTATTTTTTCAAGGCCATTTTTTGCACACGAAAGATAAAGGAAACAAACAGTAAAAAACCTCAAAGCAAATCATAAAAAGATCTCACAATTCTAAAAGGATCAGTGGTGGTTTTAGGTGTCAAGGAGGAGTAATCTCCAATTCAACAATACCATCAATTATGTGTTATGATCGGGATAACGGAGAAATCCATTGGGAACTCAGTGTGAGACCTTAACTATAAAATGTATTTCCTAAAAAGTGCATTAAATCCGCACACTTTAAACCTCGAAAACAACAAAAATTAAATTTCCACTAAATTTATTGATTTCGCAGCATTAACGACTTTTTTGATATCCTTGTATCTAATTTGTCAATTGATTGCCTCGTTTTTAGAAAAAAATCGCACGTAAAGCCTGAATACAAAATCAACTATGAGACCTAAACTCCATACACGTGATTTGGGATAATTTTACACTTAGAAGAGATTTTGAGTTTCGATATTTAGGACAATTACAGAAAATAAATTGAAACAAAATTTGCAGATTTATCTCTCTCTCTCTTTTAAAAATGATATAAAGATAAATCTCATGACTGGCTTGAGTAAATAAACCGTTATGACACAAACTAAAACTGTACAAGTTACAACACTTTTAAACTGATCAACAACGATACAGCTAAAGACACTATATTACAAAAGGAAAACTAGTAAAGGCAAAGAAAATCATATAGATGATACCTATGCTGACTAGTAATACCTAATATAAATATATATTATCGTGTAAATATATACAAGTTCAGACGGACAGATGCACAGAAAATGGGAGGTTGACATCAGATCTGCACAAAAATGAGTCTTTCCATATGGCATGCTTCAGCAAATACGGTGTTCGAATTTCAAGCATTCGATGACTACATGTAGTTGCTGAGAACATTGTGACGAAAATTTGTTATGTATTGTATGGACAGACAAACGGACAATCCGGAAGTTTACATTAGATTCATGCAGAATAAATCCAAACATATGGCATGTCTCAGCAAAGAATGTGCTAAAATTTCAAGAATCTGTGATTGAGAATTGCTGATTTACTGCCACTAAAAATTTTACGAACAGACCCACGGAGGGACAGTCCGACAGTCGGACAGACAAACTAGGGTAAAACAGTATACCCCGCTCTCTCCTTTGGAGCGGGAGTATAATTAACAAAATTTTCTTGTACAACAATTTCATTTTCTTCAGGAATATTCAAAATCATATTGTCATAAATTGATTCATGTAAATGTAAATTCATGTGCCATTAGAAATGGAAACATGAAATACAAAATTTGTCAAAATTCAGTTCAAGGGTCTCAATTTAAAGCCATGTTTACAGATAGGAATTGTTTGCATGTTTTTTTATCTTCATCGAATAAAAATCAAAGTAACACAAATATTCGGAGAGTATTGCATCAGCAATAAATGTCCGCTACATAATTCCCCCTTTCTCTTTATGATGTCACTTAATAATATCCTGTTCATTTAAAAGAGTAATGTCTGTGAATATAATTATACCTTCATGCATATTCGGTCAATACAGCCCATTTTACATAGCTAAAAACAATTTTATTTAAAAAAAATAAAAAAAAAAATTCATGAAAAGTTATGGTCATGGTTAAAGATTTTGCGGAGAAACAGACCGACAGATAGACAGACAGACATACAGACGGGCACGATAAAACTATATACCCCCAAATCGTCGATTACAGGGGCATAAAAAGAAATGGTCTTTAATTAACTTTTCATATTATGATAGAGTATAAAGAAGACGTTACAAAAATGAAAATGTTTGTTCTGATTTTTATATATATATATATTTTCAAATCAATTTATTTATTTACAACACCATCATGCATTGGCACATAGTCATGAATACAACAATTAACATACATGAAATAAAATATCAAAGAAAGCATATCAGGTTTGTTGAAGGTTCTCTTTCCTAATATCAAAGCACGTTTTAAAAAAAAAGTTACAAACTCTCCTAGCAGTTCTAATACTTGTAGGATTGATAATGTCAATAAAAGGATTTTCCTTCATGTAACATTGTGCATTGAATATATCGTAATATTGTAATATACATTGATCATAACTAGGACAATAAAGTACAAAATGGTTTTCATTTTCAATAAAAAAAAATACAAAAATGACATACACGTTTTTCTCTAGGAATAGGTGGCCTTAAGTATCTCCCCATTTTAATATTAATTCTCTGAAAATTATACTCAGAACTAGATAAAAGGGTGGAGTAAAAGAAGAATTAAGAAATGTAATGAATACTGTGTGCTAAATCAAAAGGTTTTATCTACATTTATAGTTTTTGCATTAGAATGTGTATTTTACACTAGCCCATAACTTTACAGAGCATAGAGTATTTATAGATGTTATACACATAGGCGCTTGGGGTATGGAACCCCTCCCCCTTT